TCCTCCATCCTGCAGGCCCTCTCAGGCCACCCACCTCCCACCCACCGCCTGTAGAAAGCCTGGCTATGGTGGAAGTGTCAAGGTGAATGACGACTCTTTGCACTTGAACTATGGGGAGTGCAAGATGCAGCATCCCAGCAGCCAGCTGGTGTCCCTGAGCTGACCACAGGTGGAAAGCTGCCCACGGACAGGCCTCTGCCATCTGATGGTTGTGCCAATAGGGAGACAGAAGCACCTGGCAAGTGGATGAACACTCATGACCCACAGGTCCCAGCCCTGGCTGTGTACCCCTGAGGCCAGGAGAGAAGGAACGGGCTGCCAAGGGCACCCTGCAGCCCAGGGGCCCCTCCTGGGCCCACCCTCGACACCCCTGTAACAGAGATCATGTCACCCATCTGCAAATGAGGACACCACTGCTCCAAGACAGCTAAGGTGAGCTCAGGACTCCTGCTGCTCCAGAGAGCATGCCCAGCCCAGCAGTCCCCCAACGCAGAACCCCGGGGGGAGGACCACTGCTGGAGCCAGGTGGGCACAATGCGGTTCACTGTGCCATCCTCTCCACTCCTGTGTTGTGATGAAATGTGCTTTAAAAACTAGCCGAGACAATCTGAAGAACCGGGGAGGAGAGTATGTTTCTCTACCAGATAAAGAAGATGTACCATAAAGCTAGCTCGTTGGTGAGGGATAGAACAGACCAGAGCCAGGCGTGTATGAGATGGCATCATGGACAGGTGTGGGCAGCATGGCATCCAGCACTGGAGGCTGACAGGCACTGCCCTGAGGGAAAGGTAAAATGGGTCTGCTATCAGTTAGGATAGAGTAGGTCATGCTGTGGAAAACACAGGTCCCCAAACTCAGTAGCTTCACACATTCAATGTTTATTTCCATCCCTATGACATGTTCAGCGCCGGTGGGTGGAGAAACCACTCTTCTCAGGCTCTCCGATGCCAGCAGCAGACACCTCCGCCCACCACACCATTACAGAGTCCAGTCAATGCAAAAGGCAAAGCATTAACACTTGGGAATACAGTGTAATGTCTTTGACCATCAAGTAGGGAGATATTTCTTAAGAAGAGTCCTGCCCTAGCCAGATGGCTCAGTTGGTTGCAGTGTCATCCCATGCACCAAAAAAAGGTTGCAGGTTTGATCCTTGATTGGAGGCAACTGATGGATATTTATCTCTCACATCGATGTTTTCCTCTCTCTCTAAAGTCAATAAAAACATATACTCAGGTGAGGCGTTAAGAAAAAACAAAGAAGGCCCAGCCAGTGTGGCACTGTGGTTGAGCATCAAAACATGAACCAGGTCACAGTTCGATTCCCAGTCAGGGCACATGCCAGGGTTCCGGGCTGAATCCCCAGTGGGGGCATGCAGGAGGCAGCAGGTTGATGATTCTCATCATTGATGTTTCTCTCTCTCCCTCTCCCTTCCTCTCTCTGATATCAATAAAAACATGTTTAAAATATTAATTTAAAAAGGAAGTGAGAGTCCTGTATACAAAACAACTGGGCACTTACTTCCTGCTCCAGGGGCCTAGAGGGGCTCCACCCAGGGCATTCAGTGACACTAAGAAGGATTCTCATGACAGCACTAACCAAAATTGCAAATAAATTAATTTAAAAAAGAAATCCATCTTGGGCAGTATAATTGTGTTCCCCCAAATTCAGAGTTCTAACCCCCGGTACCTCAGAATGTGATTATTTGGAGACGTGACCCTTAAAGAGGTAATTAAGATTAAATTAAGTCATATGGGTGGGCCCTAACAACAGGACTGGTGTCCTCTAAGAGATCAGGACACAGGCAGGCACAGAGGGACCACCATCTGAGGGGAAGATAGCCATCACAAGCTACGAAAGGGGCCTCAGGAGGAACCACCCTGTAGATTCCGTGATGTTAGACTTCTAGCCACCAGACTGTGGAAGACACACACATTTTTGGTTTAAGCCATGAGCCCTATAAACGCACGCAGGTGTCTTTCCAGGGTAATGCTGGAGCACGCCAACCACTGCCTTCAGCCGTGCTGAGTGGATGCTTGCTCTTCTCAAGGCCGAGCGCCCCACAGGAGGATTAGATGCTCTCATCCATGCAAACTCAGGTGTGGCTTCTCTGGCCAGGGAGTCGGTAATGGGAGGGGAGAGACAGGGATCACCTGCGGTTCACTGTGGTCTTTCCACTCGTTCTGTGTTCGCAGAAAAACACATCCAGTGGGGCTCCTGTTGGCACGGGTCCCTAAGGCGCTACAAAAGGCAGAGGGCGTCCCAGTTGATCTGTGACGGAGATGCAGTTTGTTACTGCAGCATAACCTGGCGCATCCTGACTGACACAGTAGATAACAGCTCTGTTTACCTCCCTCCTTACTGCTGGGCCTTTGGGCTGTTTCGTTTTGCTGCAGTGAGGCTCATTTGGCAGTCACAAGGGCTCAGGCCACTGCACAGGTGTTATCTCATTCAACCCTTCCACACCCTGTGTGGGTAAACTACAGCTCACAGAAGTCAAGGTGACGCCAAGGGCTGTCGCTTCCAAGTGTAATAGGAAAGGTATGACCAAGCTCAAGTCCATGCTCTGAAGCCCCACACCAAGGAATGAACAATGACCAAATATATGCAGGCAAGTGGTCAGTGTCTACGCACCTAGAAATGTCATGTGGTCAAATTGTAGTATTTGACACTAACCAATAGCATTAAAAAAAAAGTCTGTTTCCCCATGCTTTCAGCAATTCTGGGTATCTCAGACTTTTAAAGTAAGTTCTGGAATCACAGACTGGATTAATACTACTTTAATGATTTTTTAAATGTTGAAATCTTTAATTCATCCGGAGTATAGGCTAGTAGGAAGAGGCAAGTATGCAGTTTTACTATTTTCCAGATGGCTAATCAGTTGTTCCAATTCCTTTTATTAAATAATACATTTTATTCCCATTAATTTGAAACACCTCTAGGACTAAATTCCTATTTGGCTTTATTCCAAAGTTCTCTATTCTCCTCTGTTCATCTGTCCACACCAATTTCCAAGCACCTTCATTATTGCAGCTTTATAAAATGTTCAGTATCTCATAGGACCTTTCCCTCAATAATTCCAGTGTTAGAATTTTCTTGGAGACAGATACGTAGAAAGCCCTCCCATAGTGCCCGCTGTGTCCTCTCTTTAAGAAATTAAGTCTGCAGGTATTTCCAAGAAGTGAAGGACAGGCATGATGATCTAGAAGGGCCCTCATTTGAGCTGGCAAGACAGCTCTGGCAGTGGAGCCTAAAGCTGCTCTCTGGGGGGGGGCCCAGTTGACACCCTGCTATGCTGCTGGCCTCTGCACGGCTGCCTCTCCTGTCTCCATGCAGTGGGCCTGGAGTGAATTCCTTCAGCTCAAGATTGGCATTTTCCCTTCTGCCCCCTGGGTTTTTCCCTCCCTCAGGCTCCAGGCAGCTCCTGTGGGCTTGGGTTACCATCTGACACACCTCTCCCGAGGGCCAGCTTTGCCGAGGCAGACCTAAGGGGGTTGGGGGAGACGCCAGAGGACCTGTTTAATTTGGAGAAAGCAAAGAAGAGGACAGGACCTCACTGGTGATGGCAAGGTGCCTGCTCTTGAGTGGCATCAGGAGAGGATGGGAGGGCTCTGGCCTGGCTGCCACACAGGCAGTGTGTACAGTGTTGCAAAGTGATAGCTTCCTCTGGCACTGACCTAGTTGCTTTCCCACTCTGGGGGGGACAGGAACACAGCGTCAGGAGAGGAGGCACGTCATGCTTGGTGGAAGGAGGGCCCTTTGAGCATTTGCCACTCCCGGCTCTCCACACACGGGCGGGCGACCCCAAGGAGGTGCTCCTGAAAGCTGCATGGCCTGGCAGGCGTGCGGAGGTGTTAGGGACAGGCTGGCTGGAGTGGGCGGGAGCAGTCAGACTGCGCCTGCAAAAGGAGGGTCTGGACCTGAGCAACAGCAGGGCAGGGCAGCCAGTAGTGTTATCCCACCCAGAGGGACTGGGGCTGCCTAGAACATTCTGGGATTTTCCACATCTGATCAGAAAGGCTGCATATTTCTTTTGTCAGCTTGCTTGTTTGGCTTTTAGGGTTGTATTAGCTTCCCACCTTTTTCCAAGACTTGCAACTGTTGTACCTGCAGGTTATCTGTGCCTTAAAATAACTCACACACATAAAACCATCTGAACCCAGAGCCTTTTGAAGTGAGTTATTAAATAAAATAATCCCAACAATGTGTTTAAAAACTTTTATCAGATGTTTTATTACAATTTTTCCTAAAATAACTACTTTTAGTTGCAGTTCTCATTTCCACTTATTTCTTCTATTTATTCTTTCCAGGAAGGTGTTCTTTTGTTTACACAATTGTAAAACTGAAAGGGGCTTGAAATTCTTGCCTAACCACTGCTCAGTTGGTGTACTGTACTAACCCTACGTTAAATTTAGCTTGAGGGAGCTTCCCAGCTCAGCTCATCATTAGGAAACACATCCTTGTGCAGAACAGGTCTTTCTTCATTCCAATCCTCTGGCCCCCCGGGGCCTCACAACTCAGGTCTGCTGCCTGCTCCTCACTTCACCTCTACTCGTGTAGAAAAGTCAGTTTTCAAGGCCACACTTCACCTGCCAGGCCTCCCACTCCCACCCATTCAGCCCAACTCCTCACCCAAACCCTTCCAGCCCTCAGAGCTCCCAACCATACATGCAGTAAGACCTGGGGCGCTTGGGGCGGGGCCTGGCCTCTCTGTTCCTGACAGGACGGGCACAGGGCTCCAGCCAATGGGACAGACTCTGCTTGTGGGCAGCCACGGCGCCACAGGCTCAGCCACGGATCTGTCGCACATTTGATGAGCACTGGCTGTGCATCAGGGACACGAGCTAAGATGGAGCTCCTGCCCTAGAGGCTCACAGTCTTCGCAGATATACAGTCATGTGGTGCTGGGTTCAGTGCTGACTCAGCAATGTGCAAGAGTGGGCAAATGGCAATGACCGTTGAAGAGCAGAAAGTGGGAGGGCATCAGGGCAAAGGCACTGAGATAGGAAAACTGAAGAAAACCAGGTGACTAAATGTTAACACAGAAGAAAATGCCTGGAACAGAGCTGAGACTGAAAGGTAGCTTGCATTCTACCTTCCTGTATTTGAGCCTTCCCAGCTGACCGGGGCCGCTGCTAAGCCCACAGAAAAGCATCTTTCTCTACCAAGCACCATCTGACTCAACAATGAAAGTGGCCAACTCCTCCATGCACCCTTCCTTAAATTCCAGCCCAGGGGACAGGTCACGGGAATCAGACATAGGGGTGGGGGGCAGAGCAAAGACCATACAGGGACCAAATCCCAAAAAGGCTGGTGTGGCACACCCAGCCCAGTTGCCGCCAGCACTGAAGGGGGTTCTGTGTGTGTGTGGGTGAAGGGGGGGCGGGGGGGAGATAAGGGGTATGGAAGTGGGGTAGGCTTACAAAGACAGTGCAAATATATGGTGAGGACTGATCTATAGAGCTCTGTCCAACTAGGGGGAGCAAACCCAGGTGAGATGGCACTCCAAGGGCAGGTGTGGGGATCCAGAGCCCAGCAGGAAGCAGCCTCTGTGCCAGCGGGGAAGTCAGAGAATGAGGAGCACGGGGCAGAGGCCAGTGGTCTGCTGTGGGGGGGGGAAGGGGAGGACAAAGGCAGAGTCTAAATAAGTACACCTCCTGCCCAGCAATGGGACCAGTGGACAGCGCCACACCTGGCAGCACTACATCCAGAGTCATCGGGCAGCAGGAGAAAAAGGTGGCTCTGCTGGGGTCTCTGGGGTGTCCACCGCCCCCTGTGGGCCACCAACCTCCCCTACCTTCTGGGGTTCTGTCCCCCTTGGGTGAGTGGGATCTGGTTGCTGGGCAGGGGGGTTAGGCAGGCTCTAAAAGCACAAGGACAGGTTTGGGGACCATCTCTGTTGGCTGGGAGGAGGCTGGCCCCCCCAGAACAGGATTGGTGCTACACGCAGAAGTGGACAAGGCAGGGGGCTCAGTGGGCCCAGGGCTGCTCTCCTTGGCCAGCTGCTGCTCAGGCAGAGGATTTTTCAATTCAGAGTCAGAACTAGAAATAGCAGGGGTGGCCAGAATGCCTGGGACAGGCCTGAGGGCAGCACCCGTGTTGAGTGCCAGGGCCTCGGAGAACTAGCTAAGGACTGCCTCACCGCAGGCTGCAGGGCCACTGGTGGCTGGCTTGAGGCGGGGACAAGGGGCAGGGCTGCAGCATGGTACTCAGCAAAACTGTTCAGGTTTTGAATAACCTCCTCAAGATCCTGGCAAAAGAGCTCATAATCACCAGGCAGGGATAGGTCCCCGTCAGGGTAGGGGGCTGCCCACGCCCAAGCGGGGTCTGTCAGGCGCCCTGAGGATCTTGCAGACACAGCTGAGGTTGTCCTGGTAGTGCTCGAAGCGGAAAGACATGCAATCGTCCATCTGGGCCAAAAAGCGGACCCACTAAGGGGGCATATGCAGCCTCAGGAGAGGCCCAGTCAATCTCTTGCCAAGGGGTGTGTGTTGGCATAATTGGCTGCAGCCCAGATGGGACTGCAAGGACCCTCCACCGGTGCCAGCCACAAGGAATGCTGGGAGTGGAGGGAGGCTGCTGCACCAACTGCTAAAAAGAAGGGGAAAAGAGAGGAAGACATGGCATAGGAAGGGGGGAGGGGTCAGAAGAGACGCACAGGACACAAGACGACAAGAGATGGGCTAGATGGGTGTGGTAAACCCAGGTGTTCTGGGCAAGTGCTGAGGGTCAGGGGAGCTGAGAAGAGCTCATAGGACTGTCAAACACAGGTCACCATCCAAGGCATCCTGTCCAAACACAAGGTGGGGAAGAGCAGAAACTAGGCCTAATCATCACCAAGGGGCTGCAGGAGGTAACCCACCAGGAGTTCTGAGTGGAAGCAAGGCCTGGGATGCCCAAGAAGGCTGGCAAAGGCCACTTGTGACATTTCAAGGGCAAGATGCGATGGCAGACGCTGTCAGTACGAAGGAAAGAGGGTCAGATCAGAGCCTCCTGGGCTGCCCTGAACAGCCTGGCTCTCAGGGAATTTCAGGAGAATGACAGTAGCAACCTTTTACTAACTGCTCTACCCACACCACACTCTGACCCTCGCATAAGTAATAATTAGGTCTAGTATTAATTATTACTAGACCTAATTATTACTATATTATGGTTCCCGAGGCAGACTGGTGAGTGACGTCGCTTGTCTGAAGCCACACACCAAGCAGTAAGCGGCAGAGGCAGCTGAACCTGGCTCTGGTGACCAAACCCTTAACCATCACCTTCACCACACCAATTATGAACTACACTTTACAACCTGCTTAGGAGTCTTTAGCTGCCCCAAGCACTAACACCAACCTGTGGCACAGATGGTCATACGACTGTCCTCCACTATAGCACTAGGAGCACGGTACCCGTGTGTGTGACAGAAGCCCTGGGCCGGGCTATGCTGTCTCTGGGCCCTAGGCTTTCCAGACTCACTTCACCGCTCAGAGTACAGCCGACAGGCAATGCCACCCTGACCCTGAATGCCACCTCCCTGCACTCCTTTCCCTGTCGCGAACCCAGTATCTGATCGTTCAAGTTTAATCCCACGTGCTGCCTCTTCTCTCAGCTCCCTCAAGTTACTCCTGCTAAGGGCCTGGGGAGCAGTGATCATCAGCCCTGGGTATTCAGGGAAAGGAGGCTGCGGCCACCAGCAGGCACAGTTCTTTCCCACGGCAAGGAGCCCTCCCCAAGGGCTGTCAAGCTGCCCAGCCTAACGCAGTCACCTCCCCTGGCTCTGCAAAGGGAGGGCCACTCATGGCCTCTGCAGCACTCTCTGCTTCACCCCTCCTTGTGCAGTTTTCCCAACACCCCACCCCTCCACTCACATCCCAGCGCTCCGCACCTAGGGCACCGCGGCCTGCACACACCTTCGTGTGCAGTTTCCCGTGTGTTTGCCTGGCCCCCTTCAGAGTGAGTTCCTCCAGGAGGGCTCAGCTCTATTGGTCTTTCCGCCCAGAACCTCCCAGGGTGGCCTGCAGCACGCAAAGCTGCCAGGGCCACCAGCACCTACCTCTGCCACCCAAGCATTACTGAACCTCTTAGATATATTTCCTTCTCTGGGGGTGGTCTTCCCCTAAAAGCCTTTCCCATCCTAATACAAGGAAAGAATATTCTAGGGCCTGCTGCAGCAGTGGCCCAAGGAGCAGCACCCAAATGCAGTGCACTCAGAGTCCAGTCCAGTCCAGTCCCTCACTGAGCTCTGATCACCCACCTGAGGTTAGGCGCCAGGTCGCCCACGGAGACCACATCCCAGGCCCAGGAGCCAATGCACTCCCTTCTCCCAGTTTGGACCTCCCATCCCCACTTGGAACCCTAGCTGTCACCCTCCCAACCCGTCATTACTCCTGTGTGCCCTCTGCAATCTCAGGAAGAAAGCATTTCTGCACCAAGCAGCCAACTTTGCCCTGCATGGGCCAGAACCTTCCAAAGCCTGAGCCTGACTGGTGAGAGAATCCTGGCTCTCCCACACCTATCAATCTGCTGGTCTCCCTGGTTTCTATCCTCACCATGTCTGGCACCGAGGAACCTGGGCCCTTCTCCTGGGCTGGACAGCGCTCGTTCTATCAGGGAGCGGGTACCGCGGCTCACGTGCACTTGCCTCGCCTGGCACCACGGGACATCCTCTACTCCGAGGAGACCCCGGGCCCCCCAAGAGTAGCATAACTTGCCCAAAGCCCCATCGCAAGTGCCTCCACTTCAGGGCAGACCACTGCCCCACCCCTCCTGCAGCCGCCACGCAGCAAGCCGCGGGGATCGGAGCTCACAAGCTCCACCCCAAGAGGAATCTGACCCACCTACGGCTACGCCAGGCGCCCACGAAAAGGGTCCACGAATCTGCAGTCAGAGACCTCGCGAACGCGTCTCCCTCCGAGGCCGAGAGTCCCAGGGTCACCTAGAAAGCGGAGAACAAGATCGCCGCCGTGAGGCGAGGCGGGGGTGGGGACTACCTCTGGGGACGCAGAGACGGCGGGAACCACCCCAAAACCATTGCAGACGCCCCCTCGGCCCCGGCGCGGATGGACAAACTGAGGCCCGGTGGCCGGAAGGCCCGCGGGGACCCAGGCCGGGGACTCCGTCTCCGAGGACTGGGATTGGGGAAGGGACGGAGGGCGGAACCCCACTGCCGGTCGCCCGGGTTCTCGCCGCCCCACTGACCCTAGAGCCGAAGATAAGTGACTCCAACTCGGAGCAGTGAGGACCTCAGGGCCCCACCGCGCGGTGCAGCCACACCCCCTGCGTGCGCACAGCCTCCCGGAAGGCGCCGCCGCCGCGCCTGCGCCGTGCGCCCTGGGGTCGCGGCCGCGCGCAAGCTCCCAGGTCTCGCCAGCGCGAGGGCTGATGGGATCGCGCTGAGCCCTATGCCGCGCCAAGTGCCACGAGAGCACGCAGGGCCGCGTGCGCATGCGCGGAGTGGCGGGAGGGGGCGGGGCTGCGCGGGTGGCACTTCCCCGGCCGGGCGGGGAGCACACGTGGGAGGAGGACTGAGCAGCTAGCGGGTGGCGCCGCGGCGCCCACCTGGCTCCTGCAGAGACAGTTTGTTTGTTTGTTTTTTTAAATATATTTTATTGATTTTTTACAGAGAGGAAGAGAGAGAGATTTAGAAATGTCGATGAGAGAGAAACATCCATCAGCTGCCTCCTGCACACCCCCCACTGGGGATGTGCCCACAACCTATGTATGGTACATGCCCTTGACCAGAATCGAACCCGGGACCCTCTCAGTCCGCAGGCCTACGCTCTATCCACTGAGCCAAACCAGTTTCGTGGAGATGCAGGTCTTGAAGCCCCTGGAGCCCGGGTTTACCACCTCGAATCAGCGGGGCACTGGGGGCTGCGGGCATCAGGGCGGGTTTGCACGAAGAGGGGCCGCAGCGCTCCTCTGCAAAGCCTCTCTCCCTGTCCAGTGCCCCGTGTTAAAGGGCCAGGCTCTGCGTACCTCCGGCCGGGCAGCTCGGCCCGCAAGGACCCTCCACCACCTGCGGGTGGGCGGGGCCTGTGGGTTTCGCATCGTTGGTGGGTTTATGCTGCTCTACCCCAGCAGAGGCCGGCCCCAGAGCGGACAATGAGGGCAGGCTGCCAAGGCAGCCGGGAGCGGCGTGCCCAGTCAGCACCCAGGGACACTGGGAACGCGGGTGGAGGACGGGATGGGGGGCTCCTCACCCTCAAAGCACAGCTCATGCCTCCTCCCCGCGCCCTCCCGGTGCTTAGACCAGACAGAGGTGGGAGAAGGTGCCAGCCCCCAGCGCAAGGACATAACGTCCTGTGGGCCAAGGACCTGGATGCAGGCCAGGGGTTCCTGGGGCCAGGGACAGCGCCGAAGTCGCTGGGGGGGAAAATGATTTTTCCCAAGGCGAACACACGTAACACATCAGCTCCCCTTCTGCCCTGGTCTAGTGACTCCTTTCATGAAAGGATCTCTGAAATGTTATCTGCATTTACACCCAAACGCACTCTCTTTGATCTCTGAAACGCAAATCAAAGCTCACATTGTACCTCCACCGGGTCTGCGGGCTTTCAGCAGCCTCGGCCAAAAATAATAGAAGTGGCACCCGGCCAGGAAACGCCTCCTTGAAGCGTGAATGAAACTTGTATTTTTCGGTTGTATCTTTCCTAATTGACCTGATAATTTAAACTTCCTGCCTCAAAGGAGAGGGGGAGTTTCCGACAATTTGGCTTACCTCAGGCACTAGGCAGCGAAGGCCAGCTCAGGGCCCATCAGCAGGCTTGTGTGAAAGGCTAATTCAGCCCAGCCGGGCCATCAGAAAACAACTGTGTAGGTCCAAATTGCGTTTTTCCTCCCACTCAGGCCATCTAAGTATATGTATTTTTTAAAAATATATATTTTATTGATTTTGTACAGAGAGGAAGGGAGAGAGATAGTTAGAAACATCGATGAGAGAGAATCATCGATCAGCTGCCTCTTGCACACCCCCCACTGGGGATATGCCCGCAACCAAGGTACATGCCCTTGACTGGAATCGAACCCGGGACCTTTCAGTCCCCAAGCCGATGCTCTATCCATTGAGCCAAACCAGTTTCGGCTGTATATGTATTTTTTTAAATTGTGGTAAAATATATGAGATAGTATTTACCACTGTAGCCATGTGTAGGCTCAGTGGCACTAATTACATTCACATTGTGGTGCAGCCCCTCACCACCACCCAATTCTAGAACTTCATCACCCCACACAGAAACTGTCCCCGTTAAACACTTAACTCCTCACTGAAACCGGTTTGGCTCAGTGGATAGAGCGTCGGCCTGTGGACTGAAAGGTACTGGATTCGATTCCAGTCAAGGGCATGTACCTTGATTTGTGGGCACATCCCCAGTAGGGGTTGTGCAGGGGGCAGCTGATCGCTGATTCTCTCTCATCGATGTTTCTAACTCTCTCTTCCTCTCTGTAAAAAATCAATAAAATATATATAAAATAAACACTTAACTCCTCAACATCACCTCTTTCAGCAGTCCCTAGTAACCTCTATTCTACTTGTCTATATTAATTTGCCTATACTAGGTACCTTGAATAAGTGGAATCACACATTATCATTTCACTTAGAATAGCTGCTTTTAATCCTCACCCGAGAATTTGTTTGACGAGAGAGAGAGAGAGAGAGAGAGAGAGAGAGAGAGAGAGAGAGAGAGAGAGAGAGAGAGAGAGAGAGAGAGAAAGAGATCAGTGTGAGAGAGACACATTGATTGGTTGCCTCACACACTGATGCACTTCCCAACCAGGGATTGAACCTACCATCTAGGTATGCGATCTGATGGGGAATTGAACCCACGACCTTTCAGTGTATGGGGTGATGCTCCAACCAACTGAGCCACGCCAGCCAGGGCTAGAATAGCCTTAAAGGTTCATCCATGTTGTAGTATCTATCAGAATTCTGTGTCTTTTTATGGCTGAATAATATTCCATTATGTGTACACTAGAGGCCCGGTGCACGAATTCATGTACAGGTGGGGTCCCTCAGTCTGGCCTGAGATGGGGTTGATGGTGTCAACTGGCTGGGGGAGGAACTGAGGGAGGTTGGCTGGCTGCAGGAGGTTGGTTGTGGGAGCACACTGACCACCAGGGGGCAGCTCCTGTGTCGAGCATCTGCCCCCTGGTGGTCAGTGCATGTTATGGCGACCAGTTGACTGGTCAATCGGTCACGTAGGCTTATATATGTAGATACCACATTTTGTTTATCCACTTATCTATTAATGGACACTTGGGTTGTTTCCATCTTTTGGCTGATGTGACTAGTGATGTTATGAACATGGATGTACAAATATCTGAGTACCTGCTTTCACCTTTTTAAGGTATATACGCAGAAGTGGAATTACTGAATCATATGGTAACCCTATGTTTAACTTTTTCAGGAACTACCGAACTTTTCCACAGCAGCTGCACCCACCAGCAATACAGTTGCTAATTTTTCCAAATCCTCACAATCATTTTCTCTCTTCTGCTTTTTTAAAATTAAGATTTTTAAAAATTGATTTTGTTAAATTTATCTCTAAACATTTTAAGGGTTTAGATACTAATGTAAATAGTACTTAAAATATTTTTATTTTCCAGCCGAAACTGGTTTGGCTCAGTGGATAGAGCCTGCGGACTGAAAGGTCCCAGGTTCGATTCCGGTCAAGGGCATGTACCTTGGTTGTGGGCACATCCCCAGTAGGGGGTGTGCAGGAGGCAGCTGATGGATGTTTCTCTCCCATGATGTTTCTAATTGCCTACCCCTCTCTCTTCCTCTCTGTAAAAAATCAATAAAATATATTTTAATAAACAAACAAGTAAATAAATAAATAAAATATTTTTATTTTCCAGTTGTTCTTTGCTAGTATGTAAAAATAGAATTGACATTTTATCTTATGCTCTTGCTAGGTTAACTTAATATTTCTAGTAGTTGTTTTATAGATTTCTTAAGATTACCTATATACACAACCATATGCAAATAAAGACAATTGTCCTTCTTTCTTTTATATATAACATTTGTATATTTATGTGGAATGTTACATATATATGTCTATACACACACACACACAACTATTATGACTTTTTTTTTTTTTTTTTTTTTTTTTGCCTGTTGCAGCGGCGAAAACTTCAGAAAAGTGGTAGGAGTAGGCATCCTTGACCTATTCTAAATCTTAGAAGGGGAGTCTGATCTTTCACTATGAAGTTTGGTGTTAGCTGTCAATGTTTTTCATAGATGCCTTTTTATTTGGTTAAGGGAGTTTCCTTTGAGTCCTAGTTTGCAGAAGTTTTGTTGTGTTTTTTTGTTTTTGTTTTTATAAATGGGTGTGGAATTTGGCCAAATGCTTTTACACCATCTTTACTATAATCACAGTATTTTTGTTCATTCTGTTAATGTGACAAATCGCAAGGATTGAATGTTGACATAAAACCACTTGCATTCCTGGATAAACCCCACTTAGCCATATGAATTCTTTGCATGTATTGCTAGGTTGCACACTCACATTTTGTTAAGGACCTTGGTCTACCTACTTAAGGGATGTTGGTTCGTTATTTTCCTTTCCTGTAACATCTTTGTTTTGTTTTGAAATCAAGGTAATACTGGCTTGATAAACTGACTTGGGAAGTGTTTTTCCTCCTCTACTTTCTGAAATAACTGGTGTAGGGTTAGCATTATTTATTCCTTAAGTGTTTGCTAAAATTCATCAGTGAAGCCAAAGACTGTTTGGCTCAGTGGTAGAGTGTTGGTCTGCGGACTGAAAGGTCCCAGGTTTGATTCCGGTCAAGGGCATGTATATTGGTTGCGGGCACATCCCTGGTAGGGGGTGTACAAGAGGCAGCTGGTCGACGTTTCTCTCTCATTGATGTTTCTAGCTCTCTTTCTCTCTCCCTTCTTCTCTGTAAAAAATCAAATAAAATATATTTAAAACTCATCAGTGAAAATATGTAGGCCTGGAGTCTTCTTTATGGGATACCTTTAATAAAGAACTTAATTCCTTTAAGAGATGTAAACCTATTCATATTTTCTACTTCTTCTTGTAAACATAAAGAAATCTGTCCATTTCTAACTTGTCTAATATATTGAATTAAATTTGTTCATAACATTGCCTTATCATCTTTTTTTAAATATATTTTTTATTGATTTCAGAGAGGAAGGCAGAGAGAGAGAAAGAGAGATAGAAACATCAATGATGAGAGAAAATCATTGATTGGCTGCACTGAGCCTGCAACCCGGGCATGTGCTTTTGACCAGAATTGAATCTAGGACCCTTCAGTCCCCAGGCCGGCACTCTATCCACTGAGCCAGTAGGAGGTGTGCAGGAGGCAGTTGATCGATGTTTCTCTCACTGATGTTTCTAACTCTATCCCTCTCTCTTCCTCTCTGTAAAAAATCAATAAAATAACTGCTATAGGAAGTTCTTCAGGCAGCAGGTGTTCATAGAGGCCCTGGTAAGTGGGTGGGTGGGGGTCAGAGCTTGTTTGAGTTGGTGAAGGCAATCCTCATTCACACTGTGCATGGGCCTCCTCCCGCCCTGATGTGCTCAGGCACCAGGGAGCTGACGGGTAGCACACCTTTGGAGAGATGTAAGGTGCTGGATGGGGCTCTGACTTGCAAGGAGTGGGCTGATGTGAACCATATACTCCATTTATCCACCTTCTCCCCAAGACTTTGAAAATCAAACACTCCCCCAGCCATGGAAACCCAACCTCTGCTCATGCTTAGGGCTTTATTAGTATAATCACCCGTCCAGTTCTGGCCACCACAGGCCGAACAAGGAGTCATTGAAGGTCTTGTCCCCCATTGCCCTGTCCGACAAGCAGAGGCCTGGCACTAAGGAGGCAGTGTGGCTGCACGCTGTGCCCCACGGGGACTTCTGGAGAGTCTGGGCATCGGTTTTCTCACTCATCAAGTGGGAGCTGCCCCCTCAAAACACACACACACACACACACACACACACACACACACCACCACATTCGTATGTTGCTTTGATCTCACATTCTGTCTCCCATCTCGACCCTGGTAGTTCAGGAGCTAACTGCATCTGCTC